ATGTGGAAGCTGGTGCCCGCCGCGGGAGCAGGTGAGGGAGCGCGGCGAGGCCGCGGCGCCGCCGCCGCTCTCCTCCCGCCCCGCCCCTCCGTAGTCACGCGGCGGGTGGCACCGGGTGGCGGTTGGGGAGAGATGTCCCCAAAATGCGAAGCCTCCTTCCGCCCTGTGACACTTCGTTTCTCGTCGCTCAGGTGTCCGCTTCCTCTGCCGGCAGCAGCGGCGGCTCATCCCGCTCGGCGCATGAGCCTGTTTTCTCTGTATGCAAAACTGACATTCAAAGTGTATTAAAGAGCTAAGGGGTTCCTGAGAGCTTGGTGGTGTTCTCAATGAAGCGAGCTGACTGTTTTTCTCTTGTTTTGCTTTTCTCCAGGAGAGCCGTATCGGCTTCTGGCTGGCACCGACTATGTCGTGGGGCGCAAGAACTGTGCCATTTTGATACAGGATGACCAGTCCATCAGCCGGAGCCACGCGGTGCTCACTGTAACTCGTCCTGAGGCAACCCTTGTAAGTAGCCAGAATTTTGCTACATTACCGATATACTCTGGGTGTGGATGACTGCCTCAGTCTGCTGTGACTGTAGAGTTTCACTTTCATTTCAGCTTCACTGGTGTCTTATAACTGGAAATGAAACAGTGATCACTTGTCTTTGCTTAGTCTTTAATTCTCCTGCAGCTTGCAACAATATGTTGAGAAATTGAGTGCCATAGTTCCACTGGTCCAGGTTCCCATATGGGCGTTCCTTCTATCCCCAAGTGGAGATTTGTTAGGCGTTTGCATTAAGATAGTAGTATCAGAAAAAAATAATGTAACTAAGTTTCCCTGTTTAGACAAGGATTAGGCCTTGGTTCTAGAGGGCGTTTCAGTTGTCATCTTCCCATTGTGGTTCTCGAGGTCATGCTTGACTCCACACCATATTTGTTTAGAGAATTGTGGAAATACTTATTTCCCAAGGAGGCTCAGCAAGCAGCACCTTAGTATCCCTTGCACATTCTCATTTTTACTGACACTTAAAAAAAACACTCAGTGGGAATTTCATTTTTGTAATGATGCATAATATTTGAAAGAAAATATTCAAAATGTATTTGTCCATAATAATATACTGGATAACTGTGTAGCAGAATTTTCTAAAAGTGAGCTGAGTTTCCTCACTGCTTACGAACTGATGTCTGACCATGACAGTATCTATCTAACCTGCTCTCAAGAAATTCTGGTGTCGCCAGACTTTGCAGCTCGCAGAAGACCAGAAATGCCTATAGGAGGAAATAGGGTATCCCTTACTAGATGCCATAGGTGCTACGTAACTTGGGCACCTATGCCAGGGCTAAACAGCAGGTTAAAGAATCAAAAATAAATCTCAGAGTCCTGCTACATTGTGATTGCAGAGGCTCTGGGGTAGCCTTGCAAAACCTCCAAAAGTACTGGATGTAAGAAGTATTAAAGAACTGAAGCTGGAAGTGTGTGCGTTTTCCTTCCCTGCTTTGCAGTAGGAAAGAAAGATGCACAGCCAGCATCATTTTCCAGAATCTTTACTTAGGATAATATCTTATGGGCTTTTTCTAACATATCTACTGCTTTAATATATAATAACAGAAACTTGTTTCCAGTTAACTAACAAGGCTTATTTATGCTTATTTCCAGAGCCAGTCTCTCTCAGGCCCTCTATTAACAATAAGAGATACCTCCAAATATGGTACCTTTGTTAATGGAACAAAACTGAATGGCACTTCAAGGACTTTGCAGTCTGGTGACAGAGTCAATTTTGGAGTCTTTGAGAGCAAGTTTAGGTAAGAACTAGTTACACTGATAGTAAAATGCCAGTTAGATGATTGCGGCTTTCAATAGGAGTATTTTAGCACGTCCTGTAATGTTACAAGAAGAAAAAACAATAAAAAATTCAAATTGCAGGTTTTTAGAAAGCAAAGGAGATAAAAAAAAGTATTATTTGTTTATATTCTGCACTGACTACTTCTGACATTGGCGTTTTGGAAGATGTTGTACCATGTACACTGAACGTCTTCAGACTATTCTAAATTAAGAAGAGCTTAGTTAAAGTGTTAGTTAAGGAAAAATAATTCTAAAACAAATTGCTCCGAAGAAGAGAGGGAAGTTTAGGGGAGAGAAAGAATTTTACTTAGTTCTTAGTAGCTGTTTATAAGGTAATGAGAAGATAATTGGAGAATGCTTTAGCTATCAGATGCTGTTACTGTGACATATGCCTGCTTCCTCTTTAATGAACAAAACTTGCTATTCATTTTCAAATTTAATGTGCAAATGAACAAATCCCTGCAAATATATAGCAGCACTCCTTCAGGTAAAGTGGCAGATAAATAGCATGTTTACTAAAGACCTCTAAAATATGTATTAAGGCAACCACAATTTGGCCTTTTTTCTTAAAAGTACTCTATTACTACTTCTATTATTTAATGGTAAAAGAGCTTCTTACAACAATTTGCTTTGGATGTTTTAGATAAACAACCCTGAAATGTACAGGTTCTCATGTCACAAAATCAAACGCATTGTGACTTTTGCACCTGAAAGATGATTTTAATCTCTTTTTGCCTTATCCACTGAAGGCAAACCTTGGAATCTAGTATGCTGTAATTCCATGTGGAATTCCGTTTATGTCTGCAAATGTGAATAGGCATATGGTCTAGAGTAATGGCCATCCATCAAAAATTACTTAAATTCTGTGGAACTTCTATTTCTTAAATATTAATTAATTTACTTTACAAACTCTTCTGTTAAACATACTTTTTACCTCTAGAAGCGCTTTTTACCTTGGGGAAGAACAAACAACAGCAACAAAACAAAAAAACCCAAAAAACCAGCCTTGCAGCACTCTGGAGGCACTCATGCCATGAGAGGTCTGTGTATTTTTTGGGACCAGAGCATTTGGGTAGCCTCAGAAATATTTTAGGCATTAAATCAAAATGCTATTTATATTTTCTGAATAAAAAACAGTATTTGCATTCTTCAGTTAATTTTAAATCCTAATTCTTGTATCCTTGATCCATGTAAGATGTATGGGGTTGTTGTGAAACAAACATAGTTAACAGTCATATCTGTTTTTCACAATTCTTCACTGAAACTACAAAGACGATTCCTTTATGTTTGTTCCTTGCAGAGTAGAATACGAGTCTTTAGTTGTCTGCTCCTCGTGTTTAGACATCGCTGGAAAAACTGCCCTGAATGAAGCCATCCAGCAGCTGGGAGGCCTTGTAGCCAACGAATGGACCACTGAGTGTACTCACCTTGTTATGGTGTCAGTGAAAGTTACTGTTAAGGTATGTTGAGCTGCTGAATACTGATTGAGCTGCTTTGCAATTTTCCTGCAAATGGGAATGGTTAAGTTCTAGGCCTGCTCAAGACTGAAGAAGATGCATTTGACTTTAGCTGGACAAATTTTCCCTTTGCAAAGCAATACAAAACTATTCTTTATAAACTTGGAAAAAAAACAAAGAGATGTACTTTGAGAGTTTGGAGAGAAGAGAAAATGAATAAAGCTATTTAAATAAAGGAGAGAGTAGGGAGGGAATGGAGAAGGATAAACATGCATCTCTATTTCAAACAAAAATGTCAGAGTACAGAAATTAACAAACAATTAAAAAAAGTTAAAAGCAAAATTAACCAATTTCTCAACAGCAAAGTCAAAATTGTATTCATTTGTGCAATATTTTCCACTTTTGAGAACTTACAAAACTAACATTAGTTGAAGCATATTCTAGATGAGCTTTTCAATGCAGTAAATTTATTTTCCATCTTTTCAGACTATATGTGCTTTGATTTGTGGTCGACCGATTATAAAGCCAGAGTTTTTTATGGAATTAATCAAAGCTATTCAGTCCAGACAATGTTTGCCAGCTCCTGAAAGGTAAGTATCGTATTTTCAGTGTCACAGAACTACATTTATGGGAAATAAATTATCAAATAAGTATACATTTATCTGCTCAACTTTAACAAACAGTATGAATTGCAGTAATTTTAGTTGCAGAGGAATGCTTAATATGAAACAAATTTTAATATTCCGAAGCTGTTCTTGCTTTCATCTCTGGAGTTCATGTTTATAAACATCTCCCTCTCCCTCCCTTTCTCTCATATGTTAACTCTTGATATTTATTATATGTATTGAGATTTTACTACCGCTGCATTGGAATTTGTTGTCAGAAGTTGCTCTACAATCTCCATGGTAATATGTTTGAAACAACCTTTATACTCTTTGGAAAGTGGATAAATTAACACCATTTTTATGAAAGAAATTTTTATAAAAGAAAAGCTTATTTTAGTATGAAAACATATATAATACAGTTTTAGGGATTAAATTAACATGAAAGGGTAATTCTTATGTTGAAATAAATAAATATTGCAGAATAGCCCTTCTGGTCACTTTTTCCATGTAGACAAGTCTAAATAATCCTGTTATTCTATGAGAGAGTTTCACCTGAGCCTGTAAAGCAACCATTTTTATCATGAAGAGGGAGACTGTCTGCTTTTTTTGTATGAACACATAATTTATGCAGGTAAGAAATTCTCATCATGTATTATTTTAAAAAAAGTAAATTCCAGATACCTGTTCTTTAATCATTTCTATTCCTATCATGCTTTCAAAGACATTAAAAAAATAAGACAACAAAGGCAAGTTGAAATAGTACTTGGCATTTGGAAAATAACAGGTGTTGAGCCCTTATCTTAGTTAATAGGGAGAATAATTTGTGAAGTCAGGTTATTTGAAGTGCATTAAACCCAATAGGATTTTTCTGGATGGGTTGTTTTGCCGAATGGATACCAGACCTTTAAGGTAGGTGAAATGAACTCTGAGGAAGAATAGAAATAACTTGGTTGTTTTTAATTTTTATTTATAAATATGTGTGCGCGTGCACATGTATGCGCATCCACATACACACTTGTATGCTTACAAATCTATCCATATGTGTATGCATGTCATGACATAGAGATTTAATTAATTTTTCTTAATGGGTCTGGTAATAGCTGTTGGTAGAATAGTTTCAAGGAGCAGGGAAAGGGCAGGTAAACAAACCTCAGTGGTGTCCCCAGGGTAAAGGGAGGGGAGCTGTAGAGCATTCAGGAAACTTGTAGCTGTTTGTTAGGTGTTAAATATATTTCACAGCATATAACAGTGCCTTGCTGGAACAATAGTGCCAGTCTGGAGCAAGTGGTAGCAAAGATTCTTCTAGTTTCTAGATGCAGTTTTACAATTGCAGAGGTTTATTCAATGTATCAAACTGGCCATCTCAAGAGTTTTTCATCTTTAAAGCTCATTTATTTTCCACTTTAGAAAAGAAAGGCAGAAACTTGGTAAACTGCTTTCTTCCACTTAAACTTTTGTGTTGTGTTTTAAAGCATGTGGGAAAACTAAAGAGAAACTACTGAGAGTTCCTGTCTGGACATCAGTTGTGTCAGATTGTTTGTTTATGTTACTGCCACTGAAAGCCAACCACTGGTGGCCTTATCTTAGATTAGCTTGTTTTAGTGGTACCTCCCTGTGAGGCTGCTCTTACTGTTTATTTAAACTGCTTAGGCTCTTAAAAGTGGGGTGTGCACTGTCAATTCTTTAAGTATTGAAGTCCTGAGAGCAGACAGTGTAATTCAGCGGTCAAGTGCCCCCTAAAATAGAATTTGGTAGGTATGTTTCTCTAACATTTTTCTTAACTATTAAGACCCTCAGAGGAACTGAGCAGTACTCATAGTGGTGTTGCTGTATTCAGAGCTTTTGAGGAGAGTAGGAGAGTTTCAGAATCCCATGATAGAAAGAGAGTATGTCCCCTTGGAACTTAAATCAGGACTGGAGGGGAGTTTCAGAGGAAAATAGATGAAGATTGGTTGAGAAGGAGAAAAGAGAGAGGGAGGAGGAAAAAAAAAAAGGCAAGTTGATCTTCTGAAGATTGCTGCTGAAATTCAGTTTCCAACAGGGAAGACAGTCTCCCCCTGAGGGATAGAGGAACCATTTTTGTTTGGAGATTGCTATTAGCTACTAGCTAATAGCTTCTCATTAGGTGCAAAATGAGATTGCATTCTCATTTATCAATATTATTAGTTCATAATGTACCATAGTTGCTTAAAATAAGCTGAACGCTTTCCTGAAAGTGTTGTGCTTTTTAGCCAAGGAAGGAGGAAATCTTGGTCTTAGCTTAGATGCTGAGAAATGAGAGACTCTGTTGCCTTTTTCAACCTCTTGAAAAATATTTATATAAATAGTTTTAATGGAAACGAGTACATTATTTTACCTGTAAAGCTTTCCCATTAAGTAGAAAGAAGTATTAGTAAATATTGATTTCTAAATCTGAATTTTATAACTCTGATTTTCTGCAGCTTTTATCCCCCGGTTGATGAGCCTTCCATTGGCACTGAAAAACTGGATCTATCTGAGCATCGTGAAAGGAAAAGGATATTCAGTGGAAAAACTTTCATTTTTCTAACTGCCAAGCAGGTAACTGGGCTTTTCATTCCAGAAGTATTGTAATCTGTGGACTCATACTCATTCAGTGCATCAGGATGTAAAGTTTTCCATATATTTATCTTTTTACATGTTACTTATTTTTTGCATTCTCTTTAGCACAAGAAACTGAGTCCAGCAGTTACTCTTGGAGGAGGAGAAGCAAAATTGATGACAGAGGGAAAAAAAGAAACTTCTTTCCTGACTGATCCGGAAGTTTGTGTTGTTGATGTTGGTCTGACAAACTCACAGATCCAAGTATCTGAGTCTGTAAGGAACTGGACTGATTCCATTCTGACTCTTCTGCATAGGTGAAGCATTGCTCTCTTATACTGCAGTAGAGTAACTTCAGATTTTTTATCATGATTACTCGTGGTGTTTGCATTCTTACAGTGTAGGATACCTAGAAAGAAGGCATGTTAATCATTGCTTTAAGTACTTACATAATGTAGTATTGTAGTAATTTATTTTTTGAACTAGAAAGAAAGGATTTGACTGATTTATGCTTGTTTTTTTTTTCTTTTTTTATTTAAGTTTAAAATGAATATATTCTGAAATGGAAGCTAGATTATCTGTACTGATATTGAATGAGAGAACAAGCATCTTAAAAATACTACCTTGTATAGTAATATATTGCGAAAGAAACCAAAAACCCAGCTCTGTAAAACTAGTAGGTAACACTGTTGAGTTCCCCTGAGTTTCCTGTAAAATGCAAGATAGAGGGAAGGCCCCACTGTGCTTAACGCTTTCTTGGCTGTTTTGCAAAGAGAGCTGTTTGTACTGAGATCTATCTCATCAGAAGTAATTGAGTCTTTCATGTCACTGTTGTAGTCAGGTATAATTTTGAATTAACGGAACACCGTATGTGGTTGAATGCCCAATTCTGACACCAAGAGGAGAACGATGCATCTCCCAGATTCCTGGGACCAGGGAAGCTGCAGCAGCGAGAAACATGGAAGTTTGTACGTTTGGGTCACAAGTATGTTGGTGGAGAATTAGGCTGTCTTACTGTTTTGTGGAAAATTGTAGCGTAGACTGGTGTTTTTGCTTGGAGAAGGAGCGGAGCATTTTGTACTATGCCCTGTTTGTGATCATTTGCTGCTTCATCTTTGAATCTCTACTGAGAAGCATTTGTTTTAGTGCTTTGTCTTAATATTGTTTGTATGTTGATAGCAAGGATCTAAGGGCTATTCCTGAGGCAGAAATTGGACTGGCAGTTATCTTCATGTCCACAGAAAGGTACTGCAACCCTCGAAAGCAGCCTGGAGACAAAGGTAATTGGAGGAAGAGAACTATAAAGTTAACAACATGGAAGAGACAGTATTTCTACAACTGTGGGTTTTTTTGTTTTTGTTTTTTGTTCTTCGTTTTGCTAGTCTTAAATGTAGTCGAAAAGGTAACTCTTCTTTAATGGCCTTGCAATAAACTACGCTGAAATGTAAGATGTACGAGCTCAAGAAGGAAACATAACAGGGTATTCATTCAGTGTACAGCAAATAAGAAAAAATAAGAACAAATTTTAGAAATGGGTAAATAATGGGTCATGAAAATAATGAAATTATCATAGAAACCCTCAGAATTACATAAAGGAAAAATGCATGTGACTGAGAGATGAGTGGCAATTAAAAATACATTATTTTGTGTTGTAGAATCATCATGAGACAACTGGAACAGGCTGCCCAGAGAGGTTGTGGAGTCTCCTCCTCTGGAGGTCTTCAAACCCCACCTGGATGCCACCCTGTGCCACCTGTTCTAGGTGTCTCTGCTGGAGCAGGAGGGTTGGACTAGATGATCCCTAGAGGTCCCTTCCAACTTCAACCATTCTGTGATTACAAAGTGTGAAAATAGTCCCTGTCAGTGTCCTTTGATATAAAGATGAGGTGGTTGAATGAAGGCCAGGAGTGTAAACACAGTATCAAAGTTCTATAGTCTCTTCCTGCTCAATGGAGCAATAATGTAACTGGCTAAACAGAAAGCAGCAAAAAATGCTTTAAGGCATTCCCTCACTATGGTGATTGTGAGCAGCTTGGCTGTAGAGGGCATTTTATCTCTCTCTTTCTCTCTTTTTTTTTTTTCCCCCCCCTTAAAATATGAAATAGCGGTTCTGTGCTATTAGGAATAATCCAAATTATAACTGCTACATATTAGAGATCTCTATGAAATGCTGAGTGCAGATGATACTGGATCTTGTGCTCTGCTTTTTTTTTTTATTATTATAATTAAGTCCATACTACTGTATAAATTCCACAGATCATTTTTAAATCAGTAAAATCCCATAACTTAGTGTATTTTTAACTAAAAATGAATCCCAGAATCCTCCCATATAGAACCATTTCTCTTTGATTTATCTGGACGATTTCATGATTAAGAAATAAAAAGCTTGAAGACCACTTTGTTAAAATTTCACTTGTTCAGTTACCGATGGTGGTAACATGATAATACATACCAAGAAAAACAGAATGGAAAAACAAAATGGATGATAACATTTTAACTTTTTTTCTTATGTTCATTTGCAGCTGCATCTAAAGCTGCTTCTACATCAGCTGTCCTAGGGCCAGCCATTTCCCAGAGTTTGGCTGTGGATGAAACCGTAGTGCCAGCGACTCTGGACAGCACAGTATACATAGCTGATACCCAGCTGGAAGAGCAGGCATGGTGAGCAGGAACAGAAATAGTTTCTAGCTAATATTTGCAAATAAAGTGAAATAGGTGGCAGAGGAGCTATATGATTGCCATGGGGAATGATGTAGAGGGTCTGAAATGAAATGACAGTAAACTGCCTATAATGAACTAATTCCTGATTTGAGATAGATACACTTATAAACAGTGTAAACAAGTCTGCTAAAAGTAGGGGTACAGCTTAAAAAAAAAAGATACTGTAAATCTGTGGTAACTTTTTAATGTTTCAACTTTTTAACTTTTCTTTTTCCCCTTCTTTCCCCCTCTCTAATACAGCACGGAGACAGTGAAAACTCCCCAGAGGGACAGAAGAGGAAAAATGGCTTTTCAGGATACAACTACTGTAAAGGGAAATCCTCGTATAAGTGGCAATGTAAATACAGGAACCTTGATGTCTAGAATGAACAAAACATCTGGATTTAGCCAAAAAAGTCATCCTCTCTCACCGGGTAAATTTTCAGAAGTGGCTAAACCTAAAGAGAGTGTCTCGCATCAGCAGTCCAACTCAATTACAAACTACTTCCAAGTAGCTAGAGGGAAAAGGTATGTTGAGACACTGTTTCTAGAAACTCACTTTAGCTCAAGGGTGTACATTTTTTTAAAAACACAGATTTGACTAGTATAGAAATAAAAAGTGGTGCTGCACTTTAAAAAAAAAAAAAAAACAAGAGAGAGAGAGAAAATAAATAAAGATCAGTATTTTAAATCGTTGTCTCAAGGTAATTTATGTTCATATTTTGCAGTACAATCAGTAAAACCTCAGGAAGCTATTGTTTTGCTATTGCAGTTAATCATATTTAAGTATATATATTTTAAATTTGTTTCTTTAATTATCTCTTGGCTAAGGGAAAGAACTGAAGAAGGAGGAGAAACATCCGTACCTAAACTGGCAAAATTGGAGGAAACTTTGTCACCAGTTTTCAAGCATACTCAGTCCACAGCTTCATCAGCAGGGTACATCAAAGCAGAACAGTATCAAAAGGAAAGAAAGATTCTGGACCAAAAAGCAGATTTTGCACTGGAAGACACAGGTATAAAGAGGGAAACCAGTAAACTAGCAAATGATAAAACTGACAATACGGAAAAGCAAGCACCAAAGAAGAGAAAGGAGCTGGAGGATTTGTCTGAAGATACAGAGGCACTAGAAATTGTGTTTGGAAGCAGAGACCTAGACTGGAAAGATGACATGGAAGGTTATGGCCAGAAATCCCAAGGCAATATGCTAAAAAAAAGATGTTTGGAAGCAAGAGGAAGCAAAACTGAAGAAGTAAATGTAACCCCAAGAGAGGAGAGTAAAATACTGGTAAGTTATTTACTGAGGCAGCCTGACCTTTGGAAGTTACAATTTCATTAGAAGCATGCAAATAACTAAAGCTGCATAATTTAAAATATTTTAAAACTGTACTATTATTTTTACTTATGTAACCTTATACTTACTTCAGGCGTCTTCTGTTGGATACTGTAGGAGTGTCTGGCATCTTTTCAGTCAGAGAACTTCTGGGAGTCTCACATAAATGTTTTGAGTTCTCTTGGGCAGGAATTTTAGGAATCTTCTATGCCCCTAAAAATGAGTTATTGGTAAACTGCACATATGAAAAGTCTGGTAAGCTTTTGTGGAAAAAAATGTAGTTTTAATGCTGAACAAACAAACTAAAAAGATGGAAAGTTTTCTGTCAAGTCAAAACAGGTGCAAATCATCTGAATATGAAACAATCTTAGTAATTTAGAAACTTAGTATCTACGGAGTGCATAAAGCTGATCTGATCATTTCAACCACTGTAAATAACTTAGGAAGTACCAACTTGGTTTTAAACTATGGGAGGAAAGGCACTTGCAGAATGCTTTTCCGTCCTAGTAAAGAAATGTCCTGTTGGAAATATACGAAATTGAAAATATTACTGTTTATATTTGGAAACCTTTTTAGCCTTTTTTGGAACCTGGCAGGACTTTGAAAGTTGTAGATGTGGACAAAGCTTTTGCTGCCTGTGTAAAATAAAAACATGTGAGCGAATAACTGTATTTGGTAGGAAAAAAAAAAGAATGCAGTCAATTTTGTTACTGTTAGTGCAGTCAATTTTGTTACTTTTTTACTATTGAAAATTTTAAATTTATTGGAAGGAGTAGAAAGTAGTTGTATATAACTATGGAGTCATAGTTGCACTTAATTCTCGATTGTTTTGACAATATTTTCTCATACAGAAAGAAGAGGAACTTCGATCGGTTTTAACTCCTGGAAAGAAAACTGATATTAAGCAAGAGTTGTCAGCCATGGTAAGGAATACATCAATTGTAACTTCAAATGCCTTTGAGAAATGCTGACAAATAAACATCTAAATTTTTATTTTAAAATCATATTAGGGGATCTTATTTCAGGGTAAGGGATCTAATGGTTATACTCCTTTAAAATAAACCTTTGTAAATTTGAATAGGACAGTCTAAGTTAGCTGGGTAAGGCAGCGAACTGTAGTTCATCTATACATCCATGTACTGATCCATCCGTTATGGATAATTACCATGACTGAAACTACCTAATGCAACTACCTAATGTAATTTTCTTGCCCCTTATTGTGGTTAATATTGGTCCTGGCATTTTTGTTAGGTAACTACTTAAAGACCAGACAAGAATGGGGTGGTCTTGTCTGCTCTAAAGAGATCACAACTAGAATGGAAGAGATGGAGTGTTGGAAGAACATGTATAACATACGCATGTTAACAGCAAATAGCAAACAGCAAATGTGGGTTAGAGATAACCCGGGATGAAGAAAGGAGGGAGGCATAGCTGGGAATGACAGAGGAAAAGGTGAGGTGGAACAAAACTGAAATGGAAAATTTTGCAGGAAGAAACAAGCCAGTGAACGACGGGCAGGATGGGTGTGTGTAGGGAGAGCAGTCCGGCAGGGAAAACGCTGTGCTGGTTTCCAAAGTGCGGTAAATCTCTAGTCTAGAATTTTGCTGAGGATGTTCAGCCTCATCTGCCTTGGAATCAAATGGAGTTCCCGGTTAAGTGAACAATCCTGGTGTTACTGGTCCAAGTAGGAGGCAGGGCGTAGAGAAGGAAGAGGGAAGTAACTCTTGGGTAATAGCTTAATTGCAAGTAAAACTGTGACTTTTTTAATGGAAGTGTATGTTGAAGCAAAATCCTAGTTAATCACAATGTCAAGGTTCCTCATTTATTACAGTGTTTTTTTAATAGTCTTGCTTTATCAACAGATTGTTGGAATTTAACCTTTCTTTCTTTCTACACAAGAACCACAACAGTCTTCAAGATGACTCCAGCAATCTTCCTAGCAGACTGCTGCTGACTGAGTTCAGGTCACTGGTTGTCAGCCGAGCAAAAACAAACAGTCACCTCTTTACAAACACCAGTTATGGGGGACAGAAAAATTTCAAGACCTTCAAAAAGGTTAGTGAATAGTTGAAATGGTCACAAGGTGGCACTGTTTTAAATATTTTTATAAAGTACTATGTTAATACCATAGAAATTAACAGTAAACAAAATATTGGCTCATAAAATAATATGCTAATTGTTTTTTTTCCCCTATAGCTACCATCATTAAAAAAAAAAATTTCAATTCTCTAGAAAAGTATCAGACTGATTAAAAAAAAATGTCCCAAATAACAAACTTGGAATAAGAGAGCACAAGTATCAGACAATCTTTTAAGTGGTGTGTACCAGAATGTCAGCTAGAATCACAGAATGGTTGAGGTTGGAAGGGATCTCTAGAGACCTCTAGAGATCATCTAGTCCAACCCTCCTGCTCCAGCAGGGACACCCAGAGCACGTGGCACAGGGTGGCATCCAGGCGGGGTTTGAAGATCTCCAGAGGAGGAGACTCCACAACCTCTCTGGGCATCCTGTTCCAGGGCTCTGTCACCTTCACAGGAAAGAAGTTCTTCCTCACATGGAGATGGAACTTCCTGTGTTTTAATTTGCACCCATTACTCCTCATCCTGTCACTGCCCACCAACAAGAAGAGTTTGGCCCCATCCGCCTTACATTCTCCCCTCGGGTATTTGTACATGTTGTTAGATGTTAAAAATAGTTGCCACAAAAGCAAACAGAAGTCTAGACAAGACACATCTTGGCAGAAAGTTTTTCTAGATAAATGAAAGGGAGATATTTTCAAAGATTCCATAACTTCAGGTTGCACCTCCAAAAGGTCACCATTTTATTTGCAGGAGACCTACGTGGAGCATTTGATGAATCAGTCTTGCATTAGATAAATTAGTCTTGCATTTTATCTAATTTTATCTGTTCACACTTTATTTCTCAGTAGCACTAAAAACTGTCACTTCATGAAAATGAGATTATTGCTTGCTTGGCTTTTGGAACTAACTTCAAGAAAATCCTTTGGTGGTCAGTGTAAAAAATATCACTTAAGCTCCTATTAAGAAAAACACAGTACGATGTAAGATTACTAAAAATGTATTTCAGTGAAGAAAAATGGGAGCATGTCAAATACGGCAACTTTTAAGCTATCTGAGAGGGTGCTGTCACTTTTTGAACATGTTTTAAACTTCTGAATAAACTTCAATATTTTTCCCACTTCTTTTAAGTTACTCATCTATTCTGAGTTAAAATAGAATCTATTAGTATATACAATCATTTCTAATGCTTTTGAGCTTCATTTGATATACTAGAGCAAAGTTGCCTTTGCAACTGGTTGCCTATTTAGCAGAGGCAACTTGTCTTTTTTTTTTTTTTCCTTTGGTAAAAGGAAGCAGTTAATAGCTTGCTGAAGATACTGGATTTCACCTTATCTGATGAATTTTAATCAGACAGACTTACTTTCATTCTATCTCAGTAGACTTTCTGAATTTATTAAAACAGACCTTTTACTTGTAGGGTGGTGCCTTGCATTGTAATTGTAAGCATTATTGTTGAACAGGTTGCTTATCCAGGGGCAGGACAACTTCCGTACATCATTGGAGGATCAGATTTGATTGCTCACCGTGCTAAAAAGAATTCAGAGCTGGAAGACTGGTTAAGGCAAGAAATGGAGGTAAGGAATTCTTTCTCAAAGATGAACAAAACGTAACTTGACTCCTGTCCAGTGGTTCCAACAACCAGTGGTCATTTCTGAATTATGCTTAGGGGAAAAAAACACAAAAACAAACAAAACACTTCTGATAAAAACTCAACTTAGCAACTAATAGATTAGCTTGTATAATAAATTTGTGGCTGCCTACAAACAAGTGGCCAAATTTGAGTAATGAAATATTATCCAAATTATCCGTTATGATAATGCAATAAATGGAGTAGTGGTGGTGGGGAAAAAGTTATTTCTAGAGGGAAAACTGTTAGTACTGGACTGCATTGCTTTTCTCTATTGATCATTATCCTCCTCATTAACATTAGATATTGAATATTCTTATTTTGCCAGGAACAGAATCGACATGCAAGAGAAGAATCACTTGCTGATGATCTCTTTAGGTAAGAATTTTGTTTTAGTTGGAAGTCTATATTTTACATCACATCTTTGAACAAATTCCAGTTTTATAATAGAATGCTCTTTACTCTTTTCAAAAATCCTTGTATTTCCACATCTTGCATATACTCAAACTGACTTTCATCTTCTGGTGAAGAAGATACCTTAAACTTTGTGTGCTTTTTTTGCCTTAATTTTTTATGCCTTAAATTTCCAGCTGCATTCAGACTTGCTCCATTTTCTAGAGTGAGTGTTCTCAAACAAAATGTTGCTACGTCTTGTCTCACATGCACATAAGCTGGGCAGGATTCCGGGGCCAGGTTATCTGACCTCAGTATTTGCCAGAGCCTGATGAAATGGTTTAAGGTTGCAGCTGAGTCACTTTCCTGAACTTCTAATCTGAACTCCCAGCAAAAAATGTTAGTGTCTAACACTTGCTTCATGCTGGCCATGGCACTTGTCTGTCCCTCTGCCGAGTCACTTGAGGGAGCTAAAGCAGCAGAAAAATAGTTCCATGACAACATTTTTGGCAGCACTGCTTTCTTTTCTGCTAAGGTCTCTGATTGAGTTAATAACTCCCATTTCCAGAATTTAAAGCAAAGATTTAAAAAAATCTTCAAGCATTCAATATAGCCCCTGTGTGACTTATCCTCTCTAAACTGCTTTCAAAGCCACACATAATAAAACAGAGATAAAAGATATCCTGTCTGTTTTCTTTGTTAGAAACTCCTGGAATGCCTTACTGTCTCTCCAGTCTTCAGACTTGGGAAAGGTGGCATTTTTATACCCACAATGCTGTGCTTCCAGTTCGTTTTTTTCTTGTCAGAGTTTTAGACTAAGAGTTTTGAATCAGGTCTTAGTCGTTACTTGTGTCACAGGAGTGTGAGTGGGTTTTTTTTTGGAAGATGCAGGTTCCCCTTGGGATATTACTCTGTTGTAATTCTTTACATTATTCATCTCTAAAATACAGTCTGGGTCAGCAGTTTCCTTTCAATACCCCACACTTCAGTTATGCACCACTTTCCCTAATCTCTCTGAATAATCCTATTCAGTTAACTTTTTGTCCAGTTTTTCAACTGTAATTCTGTTTTAATAATCTATAACTATTCTCTAATTTAAAAAAAATCTAAAGTAATTAAGTTTGCCCCTGTATCAAGTTTTTATCTCTGAAGTACAGCATTTAAGTATGACAACTATGAAAACATTTATAAAAATGTTGTGCAGCCTCATTATAATACTATTCTAGGATTTAAACTAGTTCAAAATACTTTGATTAGTTCTAGCCTTTCAAAACACAGCAGTAGAAACTTAAATCATGCATGCTTATGCTTAGAAAAGCTTTTTACCTCAAAGTTAGTTCATTTCAGATGTTAAAATGCACAGATCAGTGTTCAACAGATTGTAACCAAATGTTGTGCTTAATCCTGAGTAATACCGCTTGGCATAATGCTAGTTTAATGATTGCAATTTGCCATGAAAACTGGATTTAAAGATGATGAACCCAGAAATGTTTGTAAGGTGAGTTGCTGCTAACTCAGTTCATGCTATGGTGCAGGAGGATGGGAAGCCCATATCACCCTTTCTGTTAAGCTGCAGATCAGATGGATTACGCTCAAAAATAGCCCTTTGTGATCATCATTCCCTGTTCATAGCGAGCTCTTTTGTCTCTCTGTGCCACAGTAATGGCATCTTTGTGCTCCTCTTTCCTGTTCAGGCCAAGACCATGCGCAGTTTTCTTTCTCACATAGTGTTGTTTGATTTCTTTCTTTCTGCAAAACATCATTGAGGATTCATTTAATGAGGAGAGATGGGTGAGATGGGCACAGGATGATGTCCAGGACTGCCGGTGTCTGCACTTGCAGATGGGTTAAAGCTGTGGGTACCTCCTGGCAGGGTTCTCTGTACCATTCCCTTCTGCTCATCTGACTCTATTCCCCCCTCCTCTCTCCATAAAAGTAAGAGTTAGTGTCTGGAACACGTTCTTCAATGAAAGAACTGATTTGTAGCAAAGCTTTAGCAATAAAGTCAAATGTTAACAGGTTAAGTAGAAAGATATTTTGGTTCAAAAAAGATTTGACTTACCTTAGTTTTCCATATGTGAAGAAACAAGCCACCACTGTGTGACTTTCAGCCTGTTAGTCAAATGCGTGCGCCCTGCTTCCACACCGTGGGGGTTTCAGTTCTGCCCCAGGGGCAGCGCAGCAACAGCAGAGGTCTCATACCTGCCTCGCTAAGTGGTGATGTGATTTGGCTCACAAGCTACAACAACAACAACAAAAAAAAGTGATGAATGAGATGAGAATTAGTGGAAGTGAAGCTGCCTGCTCATTCCGTTGTGTGTGAGGTATTCATGCATGATGCAAAAACACATAAGGTTTTCTAAAAGATTACCCAGGGCTTGGTGGGGGGAAAGAGGGCATGGGAGGAGTGATGCACAAATACAGAGAGAGAAGACCAAGTGAGAACGATACAGTTATAGTGTACAGACCAAGTGACAACAGTATAAATATGTTGTAGTAAATCAGATCAAAAGCTGGTATCCAGAAAGTAGGTATAAATAACTAAAAAAATGTAAAGGAGAAGAAAGGTCAATGAAATGCTTTACAAAGCAGGAGCCAGCAGAAGGGTTTTCTGCACAAGTCAAGGACAAGTCCTGTACACCACTGATTCACTCTGTACCCTCTTAAATGAGGAACTTGTACTGAGACAAAAGCTTGAAGGAGTTTATGTGTGTCAACTAGATACTAAGTATCTAGTTTTGAGTTTATTGCACAGGTTTGAGCTTCTGCATCCCTCAGTCAAAGGCAACTACTGTAGTTAATCAAAGATATGAAGTCCAGGAAAGAATTGAACACCATCTAGTGCTTAATTGTGAATGCACTGTAATGCATAGTAAAGCTGCTTACATCACGTTCTTAACATTGAATATCATGAGATTTTGCTTCTTTATGACAAATCTTTTTCTTACAGATATGATCCTAATGTGAAAAGGAGAAGATAAATTGTGACCTGAATGTACAGTACTTCTCTAGCAAAATCTGCTTTCTGCTGCTTATAAATGTTTACTGATTACAATGTGTAATATATACATATACATGACCATTTAAACTGCTATTGTAAGACTTGTTTTTAAGTCTTGCTTTTATTAAAAGAGGAAAAAACAGTTTCTTTCACCATTTGGTTTATAGATTAGACGTGATTTCAAGGCCTTAACGTTCTTGCTTCAAAGTAATGAAAACTTCAGCAAAATACCATAGGTATTTAAGATTTCATTTCATGTTGTTTCTTTCTACTGTTTACTTTTAGTTCTGTTATTTGGTGGGGAGGGGGAAGAAACGAGTATCAGGCTTTTTTCTTTTTAATTTTTTAATTCTTTTTAATTAGACTTTTTTGGGGGGGTAATGTCACTGTATTGTTCTGATGTGGGAATTTTTGAAGACTTGTAAATTACACCATTTTAATAAACTTGGGTCTGAGTAGACACAAAATGTTTACTGAGCTTAAACTTCTTCCCATTTGTGAAGTTGGTGACATTAGCTAGCCACTAGTTTTGTGAGATTGCAGATATTGAAACAAATGCTTTAATTTTAAAAATTCAGTCACTTTTGCCATGTTACCACTCTTTAAATTTCTGGTACTTGTCTGAACAGTCTCCAGTTAAGTCAAACCCTCTTACACATTCAGAAACAAAGATACTGTGCCTCTGTAAGCCTTGCAGCAGTAACAGTTTAATTTCGGGTTCCTGGGAAGAGCGAGATAGGTGCAGTTTCATTCTTTGGATGTTTTTTTTTGTGTGCAGCTAGAGCAGAGGTTGAAAATAATTGTTCAAGGGAAGCCTAGAAACTACAACTATCAAAATTTTACATTATCTATATGCTTTCCTGTACAGGAGACAGTGAGAAACAGCTACCCCTATACCTCAGAAGTAAGAATTCTGATAGAGCTGTGTCTCACATCCTGTAACTAGTTTTCAGTTGTATCGGGACTCAAGGTAGAAGGCAGGAAGATTTGTTGGGAAGGATTTGATCATTTCCAGGGGCCAAATTAACAGAATAAAGCAATGGTTAAAGTGTATTTCTTTGGCTGTGGGGCACATTCACCAGGGCTGGGTGACAACTCCTACCTTCAGAGATGAAGCTGCAGCCTCCTTGACTGTTCTTCCTTCCTCACCAAGCAAAATGTTTTTCTTTGCAGTTCGATGAATTTTTGAACTGAAAATGGGAATGCTTCAGGTGCACAACCGCACACCAGTCCCCTCTTCAACTGATCCTGGTGATAACTATTACTTATTTTTAATAAGGAAGTAGAAAGTGTAGCTTTCTAAAATTAACCTCCTGTTCCTCTGTGGGTAGGAAATGCCTGTGCAAATATTTCTGCTAGAGACTTGTCTTGGCTTTTTGAGGGGAGGTGTTTGGGTTTTTTAGGTTTTTCCTTTTTTTTTTAGGCTTAAAAGAGGTCCCTTCTTTGCCCCTTTGAACCCTCTCTTTGGGGAAGACACGAAAAGTTCCCTCTGAAAAGGAAATAAAGATTAACTTGAACTTCAGAATGGGGAATGGCATGGGAAATAATGTGTGTGACCCACGCTGAAGACTTGGGCAAAGGACGGTGCAGAGGAGGCTTCCTCAGAGAAGGGGAGGAGGAGTTACCTGAGCCGCCTTTGTGCATTTTCAGAAGTATTGCCTTGAGGAAAGGTAGCCTGGGGAGAAACGTGTGGATCCTGGAGCTGAAGGGAGAGGAGAGAGTCTCTTGCTTGAGCTCATTTGAATTTGTAGCTTTAAATCACTTTGAAGATCCATTTGTTTAAAAGGTCTTAGAGGCCAGAGATAAAGTCTTCATGACATGTAGGTTTCCACCTGTATTTGATCTAGTATTCACATCTCCTCTTACCTGGATCTTCTTTATGTTTTTATGTATTTGATCTAGTATTCACATCTCTTACCTGGATCTTCTTTATGTTTTTGGTTTTTTTGAGCATTTGTAATAAACATAAGTAGTTAAAGCTTTTGGTAGTAGTGGTGCTTATGATATTTTATAGGCATTTTTGTAGTGATTTACCTTTGCATTTCTCAACTGCACGAAGCTAAACGTCCTCGCAACACAAGAGAGGCAGAGCGAGGGCAGCGTTGCTGCGAGGGCAGCGTTGCTGTGGCGCAGGCGCTGTTTTCCTCCAAGGCCCAGTCCCTGGGCACTGTGAGCTGTGGCCCCGTGGGGACTTGTCCCTCCCTCGCTTCAGGGTTGCCATGAAGCAAACGTGGCCACCCCGCTCCAGGGTGGCTGCTGTGGCAGCCTGGGGGAGATCTCTCACCACCCCCCTGGCTTTTCTCTGGGAGGTATATTTAAAAAGGCAGTAACAGACATGATATCTAAGCTCTTCCCTCACTTACTTCAAATCACAACCTGCAGCCCTCCCCCGCCCCCTCTTTGACAAAATCGTGCTGTTACCTAAAAATACCAAGCAAGGGCTTATCTTCTTCATCCCTCCTTGTCTGTCTGTGTAACCACAAACTCGACTGCAGCTGCGGCGGGGGGAGGAACTGCCTTTCTGTACCCACCTCGTCTTCGCTCGCGCAGGAAGGAGACGCACACAACGCACAGACTGAATATACTCTTTATTAGCAAGGCTTTTAAAGCGCAGTCTGGCACGCGGCGGCTCAGCTGAGCGCAGAGGAAGGCGGCGGCGCTGGAGCTGCTTCACGCGCCACCTCACCGGAGGTTGGGCGCCACATCCGTGCAGCGACAGCGCGCGCTCAGCTTAGCTCGCACCCGCCTCAGGCGACTGCCCCCATCACTGCCTTTTTCAGGAAAGCCTAACAAGATTTTTTTTCCTTTTCACTGTTGAAATTTTTCTGCCCCTGCATATCCTCGCTCCCCTCTTCTCAGAGGGAGCAGTAGTGGGAAGGCCCCAGCGCCCCCATCCCCATATACCCTGAAAACGAGCTGCTTGTCTGGACCAGCTTCCTCTGTCTCACCCAATTCCTCCATGGCTCCAAGCCTATGTTGCTGCCCCTGTGTCCCACAGGATCTGTTCCAGGTTTGCCTCCACCTCAGCGCATGGCTGGCACACCAGCTGAAGAGCTGATTCAGCCTACTGAAGGGCTTACTGCACAGCCCACTTGGTTTCGCAGGGGGTTTCTCCGGCCTCACGCTTACCATGTCTTTTTCCTAGCACTTTCCCTCCCTTCAAAACTCACCCTTCTTTTTTTTTTTTTCCTCTGAATCCATCTACTGTCACCTTTGACCACTTGCGTGGAGTCCCAAACTCACCATTTCTGACCATATTTCTAGTTGATCACCTTAAAATCTAAGGCAGAGATGGCAAAATATTCCCGCTCTCTCCTCACTGCTCCTCTTTTACCATTTTTCTGACCCTCTCACCACATTTCCAGGGCAGTAGGTCTCATTTGCATAACATTTTCAAACTCCCTCCACTAACAACTTTGGCAACTACTTTAGCAACCCTTATATATCATTTTGCTTCAGGTTTCACTATCAGAACCACCTCCAGTAGGAGCTACAGCACCAGATCCATCCCAAACGCTCAGCCAGGTTGTCATTTTTTTCCCCTACACCTCTGCACATCCCTCCGGCACCCCCAGGGCTTTGCCCTCTGCTTTAAAGGGCTTCTCCAAACCGTAATACTGAACTTCTAGGTGAAACCGCTTGAGTTTTATTCCTGTTGCATTTCATCTCAGTGCTCGGTTTGCACACAAGAAAACACACACGAGCTCAGCATGCAAGACTTGGTCGGGGTTATCATCTCATCAAAGCTGAGGTTTTGCTCACGAGTCACTTGTAGCTCAGGAGGAAGATGCAGTTCAGATGTTCTCTGAAGTCCTGTTTATACCACTCTCGTCTACATAAGAGCACATAACCCACAGGGATTTCACAGAGTCACAGAATCACAGAAGGCTGAGGTTGGAAGGGACCTCTAGAGATCATCTAGACCAAACCCCCTGCTCCAGCAGGGACACCTAGAGCACATGGCACAGGGTGGCATCCAGATGGGTTTGAAGATCTCCAGAGGAGATTCCACAGCCTCTCTGGGCAGCCTGTGCCAGGGCTCTGTCATCCTCACAGGAAAGAAGTGTTAATCATGTTTGTCGCTCTCCGCTGGACCCTCTCTAGAAGCTCAATGTCCTCCTTGTACTGGGGAGCCCAGAACTGCACCCAATACTGCAGGTGCGGCCTCACCTGGGCACAAGGGCACATTGCTGCCTCATGGTTAACCTGTTGTCAACCAGGACTCCCAAATCCCTCTCTGCAGAGGAAGCAGAAATACTGAGGCAGGAAGCATGGAAGTTGGGTTTGCCCATAGCTCTGGCTCCAGGCAGGGCACCTCAGAGCATCTTCCACCCCCAGGCACAAACCTTTACCTCGTTTAAAGCTCTAATTCCACAACCGGCAACCGGAAACTAGATCTGTAGGAATCACACATGCATACCGACACAAAATGCAGCAGTTTCATCCCAGTGCAGGTGTATTCCCAACCAGTAATTGCAATGAATTTTCATCATATGTCATACTCAAAATTATTATGTATCACAGGTTTAGGTTACTTACTGTTTCTGCTTAAAAAGGCAAATTATTTTCTTCATAATTGCATTGAGATGCAGTAAGTCTAGAGCTCAGCATATTTAAGACAACCTCAAATAACATTAACTATAAAAAGGAGCATCTTAACTATATTGCCAATGCATGGTTGAATTCATACCATGTAGGCAATGCACAAATTAATATAAAAATCACCTCATTTATGTTTATCTTTATGCAATTAAGATGGCTCTAAACTAAGATTTATTACAAGCATTTTTATCATTTTATACTTGACCAAGAAAGGAAGGCTTTAGACTTCCACTGATAATTATGTCATTTTAACCCTTCTGCTTTTCAACTTTATGTACACGTATCAGTAAGTTACCTGAGCTTGTGTGGAGAGGCCTGTAGCAGGTGCAGAGAAAAGACACTTATAGCATAAAGATATCTCAACAAATTATGGAAGTCAGACACTGGGACACCACTAGCAATTTCGCAAAGTCTAAATCCAAACCTAATTTCCTCTTTCTAATCTGCTCAAGTTCTAATACAGACATTTTACTCATGCAAATACAATACCTTAATCTAACATGACATTCTTCAACACGCACACACAAAAGCACCCACAGCAGGGAATTTAAGTGGATAACATCTATTCTATCACACTGGGCCTGACTTAAAATGTTTGGAATGAATCAATGAAAACCAAGCACGTGGCCATGGAGAATTCAAAAGATAATCTAATCATTTTCTAACCAGTGGTTGCTTACCTCACTACAGAGAATAATCCCTGAGTTTCAAAAACTGCAGACTAAACTAGTTTTAATGTTATATGCTGCTCCATAAACAAACAAAAAAAAAAAAAAAAAAAAAAGGAGAAATAGCCAAAGCTTGGTCAAATGGCAAATGAGAGTATCTATCGTTCATCAGTCTTCCTGAACTCTGTGCTGAGGAAACTTCTCATACATTTTTTTTTCTGAATTTGTATTTCCAACATTTTTTTTTCATTAGAAGATTAGATACTCATCATATTGACACCGTAATAAGAGCACTTACATCAGCACTTTATTGTTTGCGTTAATCATACCACTGCAGAGGAACACATCTCAGGTTGTATCTCTCTGTTCTGCCCCAGCTCGAAGCATACCACTGAGAAAACATTAATGCATTGACATATCATGCAGCAAAGGGGAAGGCTTATTCCTTTATTCCAATTCTCCAGTAGGATAATTTGTAACTGTTGAGCAATATGCCTCTGCTTACAGAAATCTTGCTTTAGTAAAGGCCATTTCACTAAGTGCTCAGAGTATTACTGTGTTACTGCGGCAAATAAATAAATCCTTGTTTCAAACAGAAGGCTCCAAACTTGCTTTGGGACCAAGAATCATTTTATACTACTAGAGATTTCTGCTTTTAGAAGTTAGCTGAATTTCAAGCTAAGAATATTTTGTGGAATTTGACACTAAAATGCAAAGCCATGGTGGCAGGCTTGTTTTTCCCAGAAGAATTCTGCTCTTTGAGCTGAGCAAGGGATGACAGGCAGGTCACTATAAGTTAGTCTCGTTTTCTGTTTATCTGGGAGCTATTCCAGTCGAGTAGGGATCAGTTGTAATAGCAGACCAATTGCTGTATTTTGAAAAGATGAAGCATTGTAGTAACAGCATCCTTTACTGAGCAATACAAGTGAAGGTTACTTGTACACAACAAAAATGTGACTACTAATGACTTCTGTTGCGAGGCTGTTAGACTCCATCTGTAATTCCATCCGTGACAGTTCCTAATCTCTCCCCTATGGTACCCCATCACCTCCTCCATCCCTGCTTTCAATCAGTTCGTGCTTCTTCTTTTGTCTTATTGCCAAGCATCGTGTAATGCCCAATGCACCTCCTTTTAAAAACCGTACAAAATTGTCTCCAACCAGAGGACCTAAAGCGAAGAGGTTGGCTTCTTTAGTGCACTCATACGTATATGGGTCGATCTCGATGGGGTTCCCCTTGCATGTGATGGGCTGATTCGCGTGATGCCCTATGCCATGTCCTTGGTCCTTCAGAAAGAAAAGATTTGGATGAGATCCTATCAGAACTAAGGCTAGAGAGAACTTCAAAATTTTCTTCAGTCCAGAGGCACTCTGAAGAACACATTTCATTTCAGGCTTGAAAGAAAGCACATTGTGTTCAGGGAAACTGGTGTAAGCAGGATGCAGACTGGAATCTACAGAATGTGACTGAGTGCACATCATGTGATAGACTTTGTGGTACTCGGGATAAAGCGTTTGGGGTAACTGCTTGAAAATCAGACTGGTGTCAGTAACTCTTCTGCGAAACACGTGGATCACAGGGATGTTGTTGTTGTAGGCACACAGGACCGCGTCAGCCGCCGTGAGCCCGGCGCCCACGATCAGCACAGGGTCTGCCTTCCCACGCAGCTTCCCTTTGCTTACGGCAGCTCCAAAGTCAGTCATGGAATGAAGCACAAAAGGAAAGTCCTCTCCCTCCACCTGCAGTCGGCCGGGGGAATCAAAGGTCCCAGTCGCGAGGGCCACGTTCTCAGCAAAGAGGCAGAATGGCACGTGGGAACCATCTGCTGCTCTCTGATAGCCTCTGACTTCCCAGTTTCTCTTAATCAGTGATTTCTGTCCCTCTTCCATTTCCATTTGCAAACGCTGGGTTGAATTTAGTTGACTTCCATCTTCATCATCTGTTCCTCGATAGAGTCTGGATACCGATGTTATGTAAACATTGTCTCTGAAGTTCTTTTGGAGGCCCATGACTTTGACATAGTGCTTATAATAACAAGCTATTTCTTCTGGCATTACTCGGTCACTCTTTATATTTCTAAAACAAAATTGAAAGGTTCCAGTTAATATTTGGCTGTACTGGTAGCAGCATCACACTTGACAGACTACTTGACTCAAATTTCAGAGGGTTGATACTCAGTGTTAACTAACAGAGTTCACTACCGTCAAACTCATTCAAGATGTTTTACGTACTGATTCCTGATGTACAAGACAAGATTTACAACACTAAGAAACAAAAACTTGAAAGTGCTGAAGTAACAAGCAAAACCAGCATAAAAACATTCTAACAGTATCAGAGCAGGATAGCAATTCTCTATGGGAAGGTTTCACAAAGCCAGTTTAATCTCATTGCAGTCAGCAACACAACACCAGCAAAAACTGTGCTCAGGTAGAACAGCTTTACTTGAGATAAAGTTGTCTCTCTTAAGTGCAATCTTTGAAAGTCTTAAGTTCACTATATTGTGTTTGCCAAGTACAGTAAGGAATACTTCACTCACACATCCCTTGCTTACAGCTAAATTCAGTAGGTATCAAGTAGTTTCATATCACAGAACTTTAAGTCCCACAGGAATTAAAAGAGCAAATATTACAGAGGATGTTAGAGTGATTTTGATGTTTGAATATCTAATTAAAAATAGTTCACTGAGATCCTGATATATGATCTATGTCTTTCTCATTGTGTTTGCTGCCTTATCAGTTATTTAAAAAGAAAGCTGAAAAAATAGTTATCTTCAGCAATCACATTAATTTGGCTGCTGCTCTTTTAAAGAGAATTCTAGGAGACAGCCAAAAGAAAAATTAGTACTGACCATCAGGGCTGGCACTGAATTATGCTTAAAAGTATATTTACAAGAGGTCAGGCTACTTATAGATTACCAGGATAATAGTATACGTAATAGTAAATGTTCAGGTTATTACTCTGCAAAGCCCTGTGAGATACTTACTGAGATGATCATGATCTCTTACAAGGAAACTGAGAAAAACGTTTACGTGACTAAAAGTTTTCACATGCAATCAGTACATTTAAATATATTTGTTTAACTGTAGTAAAATAGGTCAGCATTTTTTAGTATTGTTCTAATTTAAAATATAAACAAATTAGCTACAGATAATAAGGATCTTATAGGACTTAAGCTACTAAGGAGGCAAGATTACTGCGGTTATCTAAGTACACGATTAAAGTACAAAAGTCCTGTTTCTTTACTGCAAATGTTGTCCTAAAATGAGGAGCTACCTGATCTTAAAGGTTGCTTTAATTCCATTCCTTTAATTCGAACCAGATAGAGCAGAAGAAATTATTCATTTTACTTAGAACAAAGCTAGGAAGATTCAGATTTTAGAAGAAGTTTATCTAAAGGGCCCAAGTTTATGTTTTAACACAAAGGCTTTTGTAAACTAATTGTATATCTGATGTTTGACTGAGCTCGTGTAAGATAGTCATCTTATAATTTCTATTTTTACAGTCTCTGAGGTTGTACAAGATAGTATTTTTTTTCTTTAAAATTTGCTCAGGGAACTTACTACTGTAAGTTCTCTTACTACACAGAAAAATACTTAATTATTCTTTTAAAATTAAAACCCACATATAATTTTTAGATGCTGCAGCACTTTTTTAGAAAGCAAATGCTGAAATAAATTTTCCCAAATTAAAAAACAGCTACCAGGCACAGCAACTTAAAAAAGAGGAACTCACAGTAGCTCTACAGATTTTAAACTCCTCTCTCAATTCCGATCAGAGCTGCTTACAGAAACAGCACTCCTCTGCGCTGCCCAGCACAGTTCTTCGTGCAACTTCGACAGCTGCTTGCAAACATGGAATTGTTTTATATATATTTTCAATGCATTCAAAATCCATTATTTTGGCCAACCACTGCCAATCTTCTTCCACCAGAGCATATGGGGGAGAAACATTTCCACTGTCATGAAGTAATTTATTAAACAAGGCAAAAAAACCCACTCCTGTAAGCAGTGAAGCTGTTTTGCAGTTCTTAAAACAAGGCTATCTGGATTCTCATAGCAGCTACATATCTTTCAAATATGCCAAGTGATATTTTTACCTGCGTATGTTGGCTGCCCACTCTTTAAATGCAAGTCCAGGCAATTCCATCCAGTCTCCAAAACTGATTGTTAACATAGAGCCTTCCATAGACTGCGGTGAAAAATAAAATGTGTAACCAGATAATTTTTAAATTAACATATTTATGTAAAACATGGAGAAATTCTCGTTGTATGCAGGGTAGTAAAATACTAGAATATAAGAATATGTGAATACTATATGAAGTGCTGAGGAAATAAGCTTTCATATTACAGTTAGACACTCTTTTAATAATCACATGATCCAATAAAGTTATCAGAGAAAAGCAGAAAGTGGACAGAAAACAAAAGAAAAATGAAAGTGAGTTACTGAAAACTGCAAACAGGTATAAGAAAAGGCTGAAACCAATGGGATAGAACACTACAATTCAAGACAGCTTAAAGCACCTGGAAATAATGCAAAGATAGAAGAAAAGTCTCAGCAAATACATTCCATTATATATCTAAGATAACAGGGGAGAAAAAAAAAAACCTAAATCAAAACAAAAACTAAAAAACAAAACCACGCAGACACAAGACTACATTCATGCTCACAAATCCCCTTCATGGGTAACTTTCCCTTCCTCTTTTTGTATTTCTAACATATTTGTGCTTTGGTAAGCTGAACAGTTGGAACTGCAACAGCCATTAGTATCTAAAAAACAAGTCTAGAGAGCAAAACCACCGAAAACACAAAATTATAAAGTTATCCTGCAAGTGACACACAGAATTTACTCACATGCCAGGCCCCACCAGGTGGTCCTTTACCCAGCACTATATGGGGAATATAGTGATGTTGCTCCAGCTTCCAGTGCAGCGTGGATGGGTAGTCGTATCCGAAGTCGGCATCGGGATGCAGCAGCGTATCGAAAAGCACCGCCACGGGGTTGGGGGAGCGCCCCTCGAGGCCTTCCGACAAGTACTCGAGATCCTAAAACATGGGAGAAAGTTCTCCATGTTCACGCAGCTTTTACCACACGTGGTATCACTCTGAGGTACAGAAGTTTAATTTCAACAAAAAGCAAAGAATTTAAGCTGGAATTTAAGTACAGATAAATATTTAATGCAGAGATGTGCTCAAAACTTTTTTTTTTTAAATAAGCAAGATTCAGGATTTCTAAAACAATGCAATAATAAATATTTGAAGAGAATATGGAAGCCACGAGCCCACGTTTTACTGACAAAAGATAGTTCAGCTTCCCAAACTGGGAAAAAGATTGAGAGGAAGAGGAGATAAGAAGAACATGGAGTGTCTGTAGCCAAAAACTAAGGCACCTTACTGTCCTGCCAAAAAATAAACCTTGATACTTAAGGTCAACATCCTGTGAGAACAGTGTGGCATTAAAACAAACAAACAGAAACACACAGCCAAAAGACTCTTACTCTTCCACTAGAAATACACATGCATGCTTCCAGCCCAAACAAATCATAGATCATAGAGACAATGCAGTTCATAATAGCGCTGTCAGTAATCAAGAGTGGAGCGAGTAGAAGATAGCAATGTGGCAAACAAATTGTGGAAGTGTGCAGAAAAATAACACACAGGAGAAAAATAGTGGAGGAGATTTAACCATTCAAAAAAGACAGAAAAATCAATGTATACAAGGATAACAATGAGCACAAGAGTCACTGTGACCAGAACACAAATAGTGAAAGATGTGTACTGTTCAGAAGAGAAAAACACGTTCATCTCTCATGTTACTGAAAATTGAGTTCTAGGAAGAACTGTGCTACTTAGGAATAGTTTAGACTTGAAGCCTGCATACTTAAGTACATTGGTAGCAGGAGTCCCTTAGTCCTTAATGACGGTACCAGCACGTGAAAGTCAACATTCCTTCATCAGCTACTCATTGAAAGACCAAGTGCTGCTTTATACAGTTTTTGGCAAGTAATTAGGACATGACAAGCAGTTTTTGGTGTGGCAGTAACTTGATTCTATTTAAATTAAGTTGCTTATTAAATTAACAGAAGAACAAAAGAACTTGTTAATGCATTAGAAATATAACTAGGTAAGTACACTAGCTTTCCACGATGAAACATGGGGGGATAAATAGTTTTCACCTGAAACATATATAAATTTGTTAACAGCTACTGAAGAAAGTATATACTGTCCTTAAGAAAAATGAAGTCAACAGATCAAGCCAATTGCTTGAGGCCACACAGTTACTGAGCTTTATTGGGCCTATTCTTTGCAGCTTAAGAAAGTTAAGCCATTTTTTTTGTGCATGACACTACTTTTATCAAAACTGCAGAAGTATTTTAAACGGGATCACGAAAGAAAGCTTACTGTTCTGTAACATATTTTGTAGGAGGAAAAGATCTGGGTAAGACGGCAACGAAAGCTTACTTGATCAATGATGGAAAGATGCCGAGCTGCTTCCAGCTTCGTGTGCAGCACGGGGTTTGGATGCACGGCCTCAGGAGACAAGTACGGCCTGTATCCAGACAGCAGGTAAGAAAGACAGATTCCCGAAGGGCCATTTCCTATTAAAGGAGAAAGCCAGTAAAAATATAAGCAAAAGTTTACATGTCACCAAATAAGGAGAAGTAAAATTATACACTGGAAATATAGTGTGGCACCATTCCTATTCAAAGAAGCTTATAATGTTTGCAGTAAACTAAAACCTGCCTGGAACTTCCTCCAAACAGACTCGGTAAAATCTTTTTCAGATGACAAGAAATTAGCTTAAAAGTACAAATATAGTATTTAAACTAATTTTAAATTTTTGATTACACTACCAATGAAATGCAACACATGGAAACAAATTTGTATGTATGTCTGTTCATGACTGTTTACATTATGCAACAAAATTAGAATTTAAAAAAATCAATAGCTTAGCATGCAAATTCACCAGTGCTGCATGAAAAGCATAAAATTTGGTGTACCTGTCAATCACCCATATGTGAATAGTTTTACCATCTTACAACTCTTGTGTTCCACTTAGACTGGGTGCTGTAGAAAACAAAGACAACCACAAGCGTGTTCTACTTAGGTGTGACCACTAGAGAGGAAGAAATAAACCACAAAAACAAAGCTCAAAATGGTCCCAGTCTGAATGAGAAGCTACAGACCCAGCATGACAGACACGTAAAAGCTGAGTGAGAGCAAATACTTATAGCAGAAAAGTGCTAAAGTACATTAAACTCATTTAAGACCATGTTCATCCTTAACCATATCAGCACCAGTATTCTACTTCCTTATTTGTTTTACACTATTTTATAATTTATTTGCATAAATTACTGCAATTTTAATATGCTGTTTTTCAAATATCCCAAATAGATGGGGCAACTACATAAGTTAGCACAAATATCAGGTAAATATTTCTATTCCTTTGATCAACACCAAAGAAAGTAAAGGATTGTATTTGTCACATGCAAATGCTCAAGGTCTTGGAGTAATGTTCATATTGCAAAGTCAAAAAGCAAGACTTACTAAATACTATGTCAGAAAAAAGGACATGATATGATACCTAACATAAACGTGTGACTATGTACTGTTGTTTCTATAGCTCCCCTTCCTCATGAGCTGAATGAGAAGCACAGTGTTATCCTGATGAGACACTACTCAACATTTTGTCTTTGTTTTCGAGCTGAAGTGGCACACACAGTGCTCTAGCTATTCACATTCTGAGCTAAAAACACAATCACTGGTTTCTTCAGGGCTTTCATACAGCCTCATGATTGGGATGTTAAGTTCTTGCTTCCTGCCCTTTCAACCCTTCTTTGATCTCCTTTCACTGTCCCCCATATCTTCTCACCCGCTGCTTCCGTCACTAGTTTCCAATCCCACTTCTCCAATGCCTCCCTTCTCCAATTTCCAAGCCCTTACATTCCCTATCAGTTTGCCTAGTCCCTATATTTTGGTCCTCCTGTCCACTCACTCTCTCAAATTGACCTCTAATCAGCAAGTTTTTCCAGAGGTCTAGAAAGGCCTAGAACCCAACATATACATGAGACAGCACAATGATTCCTTGAAGTGTCTCTTATTGAATGCATACCTTTTGCACCAACATATGGAGGCAGAAGCAATACAGTACTTGCCAGAAAACTGTATACTGTAAGGAGCATTAAGTACTGGGAGAAGGTTACCTAGGAAAAATGTGGATTTCCAGCACTGGGATCTCAAAGTTAGAACAAAAACCTGTAAGGAATGGTTTAAATATTTGTGATCCTGCCTATTTATTTTCCAGACCGCGTTCATCCCCGTTTGTCCATTTACAAAGAAGAGCTCAAAGGGTCTTTCAGACAGTAAAGCTTCCTTCTCAAACCATCCTACCCTCCCACAAACAGATGTCAGCAAGAGACAGCAGATAACACTTCAGTTTAAAGCTCAGGATGGATGCAAACCCCTCTTAACATCTACTTGTCATGTCAGATGTGAGAGAGAACCTTAACAATGCACTGAAGCCACCTATAATAAAAAGGAGATGAACTATAGACACAATCAGAGTGTTTTCGCAGTTTCAGGAGTACTCCCAAGATTGAATTATATATTTAGTGACTTTGAGGAGAATTACAGGGGGAAAAAAAATAGAAATTTAAACCTGAAGAGTTTGGTCTTTATTCACACACAATACTTCCCATAATGCTTCTTATCATGTCTGGGAGATTAGATACTATTATATAAATTTCAGGTTTATAGTCAATATATTCCCAATATCCATAGTCCTATGTAATTTTGCCTAAGTTTGGAAGAAACTTCAGATCAACAGCAACCTACAGCAGAATTACCTTTGCTTTATGTGCCTAAATTTAAAGCAAACAACCAAAGATTGTTATTTGGCTGAAAATTTAAGACCATATTGTGTTTACCCTGTAACGATCAAAGCTTGTGCAGGAGATGAAAATGTTTAGCACAGAGCATCCTCTGGATTTCGAGCTCCTACATGAAATTTTGCACTTCCAACTCATCCAAACAGAATTTGTTTCTTCACCATTTCTTGGGAGAAAACAGATACAGCAGCACAGTACAGAATTTACTTAAAATTATCACCAGTAACACAGTACTCTATGCCAAACAATTTATCCAAATAAGAATCAAATCATAAATGAGACCTCATACAGCAAGAAATGAAATGGTGAAACTAAAGGAAGGGCAATATAAATTAACATTCAACCATGAAGTCAATTGTTTGGATATATGTGCCATCTCCCTCTGATTATTACAATGGTGCTATGAGAAGGTAACGCTGGGAAATTAAATAAGAACTTTTTAATATAATGATGTACAGAAAACTGCAATCACCAAGATATTCCAGAAATGAAAGAATAGCATGGAGAAGATCAAAACAGGGAGCTAGGGTGGGGAAAGAACCTACTTCTGTGTTCTGCTATAGTTTTATATCATTTTAGGTCCTTTCTAAGGCTTCTTCAGTCATCTGTGAATTAGAGATAATAGGCTGTCAATGGAGAAAATCAACTTGAGATTTTTTTTTAAAAAAAAAAGAAAAAAAAAAAAAAAAAAAAAAAAAAAAAAAAAAAAAAAAAAAAGACATTCAGGCAATTTGGGTAACATATTTGTTTGCCACTGGAGACAGTCAAGGTAGTTGTGGTTGGTGTGAGCACACAGAAAGGAGTTTTAGACAAAGCAAGTACTGAGCACAGGTATTTGCATAATGCATATTTACAAGATCAAACAGTGAGTCATTAACCATATGGCAAACCTATACCAAGGTTGAGCAAATGCCAGGAAACTGCTGCTGCTCAACTAGGATGCAGATTTCACCAAGTGATTCATGTCTGCCACATGCACGGTAATGTATTACACGAGCACTACTTTGAGCTATCACTGAATAGAGCTTTGAGAAGAGGCACTGCACAAACACTGCTATTTCAGAGCTGCGTAGGTTTAATGTGAACGTATCACATGGAAACATCATTCTCTGCATTATCTCTCTGCTTGCTTGCTGTTGGCTTGCTGTAGCCCAGATAACTCACTGGAGGCCTCCTTTACTCGAGGCCTTTCCTTTATCCTTTCATCAAGTCCTGGCAACAGGGAATTGGCGACCTCCTGTGCTGAGAAATCCTGGCCAAATACAAACCATCCTGGCACTCTCACCACAAGCTTTCCACCTAAGGAGCCTGTTCCTTCTTCTGTCCCTAACCCTGGCAAGCCTTTACAACAACAAGGCCTCAACTATTTAAACAAGACTACACTTTAATAATTTGAACTCGCTAATTTGACATGGATTCACTTTGGTGCGGACAAACAATATTTACGTAACAGCAGTGGATACAACAGAAAGAAAAAGGCCATTAACGAGGAAGTTTTGTACCTGAGCAGCATACAACACATATTTTACTGTATGTGCTCAGTTGTCCCAACTGACCACACAAATTTCTACCAGTGCAGCACCAGCAACTTCTGTGTGACCTGATGCAGATGTAACAGCAAATCCAGTCCTGTATGACCAATGCTACAATCAAAACAGTTCTGTTAATACTCATTATTTGTTGTCAAATGCAGTTAAACTTCATCAAACCACATCTTTATTGCAAACATACTTCAACAGAAAGTATTTTAACAAAATTCAATGATACTGCTGTTAACCACAAGAGCTGTATCATTCTCAAAGTTATTTGCTGTGCCAATTATTTAATTATAAGTAGCTTTGTACAGCAGGTCTGCAGAGGCAATCACAGTCCCAGGGAATCAAAAAAAAAAAAAAACCCACACAACAGGATAAAACAAACCTTACCTATTATTACTACTGGCAGAGTGAGCAGAGGGTCCCCAGGCAGGACAGTTTCTTCTATTAAAGGCATTCTTTTAATCTTGCTCCCAAGGCTGTCACCAAAATACTGGGCAAAGGAATTCAAAAGTTGTCCTTCGGTTTCAGGGCTACTGTAGCTTCTAGTGCAAAAAAACAGAGGGGATATGGCTGAATTATGATCAGAATAGCTCCTTCAAAAATAAAGTTGCTTTGAGAGCTACAGAATTTGCAAGGAATTTGCAAAAACAGATACTCCTCCTCCAGAACACAGAGTATTACTCTTCGGTACAGCTTTTCTAATAGAAGTAGAAAACAAAAAGTTGTTTCCTCAAGAAAGTCTACAGAAAGATAACACATGGACAGATGGCTCCACGGAAATGCAGGTCCCTCCAATTTAGGCATATACAAAACCAGCAAAGTACAACCAACAACAAATATTATTCTGCTCAGCAACACAGGGGAATTTGGTTCTCAATGGCCTGATCAGAACAGGAGAGACAGAGCCTGTGCCTGAGCAGCTAAGGCACAACCGGAGTCACCTGCAGCCACCAGCCTCTGCACCAGCAGGGACAGGCCCTGGCAGCGCTGGGAAGCCCAAGGAAAGTCTGATCCCTACAAACACCAGGTGTAACCTGTTCTATCGCTGATAGGCATCTAGAAAGGGAGCTGCCACCCATGCCTGGGTCAGCTCTTGCACAACAGCCTGTTGCCCCAGGCAGGGGGCTGCGCGGGTCTGTTACCCAGCTCGGAAGCCCCTCCAGGTCTTTAGAGCAGCACACACTATCTGTGCAGCTAAAGAGGCAGCGCCAAGTTTAAAAAAGTGTCACTGGCACTTACTTTAGGTGGGCCTCTGAAATAAGGACTTAACAATAACTTTTTGAAGGGCAACACTCCAATTATGTATTTTTCCTGTAAAGAGAGCACGCATCTATTTCCTAAGAATCTGCAAGCTCTAAAGCTGTTCTAATATTTCAAAAATTGTTTTTCCGTGGGACCTAAAAGCACGAGCTGCATCCTGTTCCCGTTGCCTTCAAGCATGGCCTGAACCCCAACCAGGCTCACGGTTCTGCTACGAACTTCGAAACCCCAAACAAACAAAAAACCTTTCCTCAGTTCTAAACCGAAGGTAAAATTAGAGACACAGCAGCAGCACCGCTGGTACCTGCTGTGACACAATCCTACCGGGATCATTATTCCTTTGCTAAAAAAGTTGGGAAAAAAGCTCTTCTCAGGCATTAGTAATTTCAGAAAGCACAGGCTTGACGTTTACAGCCGCGCAGGAAATACAGACGCAAAATTTGCAAGTTATGACTTTGGTGATGGACTGCGCTACAGCCGCACACGAGCTCGTGGCGGCAACGGAACGGCTGGAGCTGCGCGGGGGCGCAGGCAGCGCCGCCTCTGCGGCCGGAGCCCC